TATTTCATGAAATTCTATGTCCCACTAGAATAAAAACATTACGGCTCCAAGTTCTTGATGTAGGATTTTCCGACAACCACAAAGTGGATAAAAGATTCTGATCGGGAATTTAATGACACAGTAATTATGAACTGAATCTTTTGGTCGGTTACTGCAGATTAGACACAATATGTACAATAACTCAGTAGTACTAAGTAACGATAACACGTGATTCCCCTAGACATGGACTGCGGAACGAGAACAATCTGTCCTTTTTGATTAAAAAAAGTGTTTAGTACGAAATTTCATGCAGGTCATCCGGACCGACTAGCACCTGTATATTTGGAGGGAAATCCCCGTTATTTATTTCTTTGTCTGTAATGGTAGGACTGTAAAATTACTGGTCTTATACTGGCTTTTATTATGTCCTGGAAATATACTTCTGTTATAACATGGCTTACATTTCCAATCATATGGCTGACTGGTTACATTCTATATCTCAAATCTGTTTCTGTCTTCGGTCAGAAAACAACATAGGGTCATTTCAGCCAGACACAACAAGGTTTTCAGATTTCATTCAGAATTTGTTAACATTCATCAGATGAGTTGATAGTAAAAAACTGAGTATCATACCTCATTTCAATCATTTTTTAAGCATTATTTAAAATTTCAGTTGGGATTTTTACAGCAAGTGACAGGAGAGTGGGATCGAATTTGTAAGAGTGATAATGGTTGTAATGAAAGAAGAAAACTTCTAAAGGCAAGCAATGAAAGGTGCTTTCAGTGAGAGGTCAATATAAAACAAAAGAGAATTCAATGCTTTCAAAATTTTCAATAGCTTTATAATCTTGTGAATGGCATGAGATCTGTTTGAATTGATGTATGAAACTGAAACTTCCAGGATCAAATCCTCTGATAAACGTTAAAAAATGGTGAAAAATTTCGATGAAATCTGAGGGCCTTCAATTTTGGATTAAATCTGAGTGTGATTACTTGATCGAATTTTTGATAAAGGAAGAAGAGTTCTAAAGGCAACAAATGAAAGATATTTTCAATGAGAGGTCTCCGTAGACAAAAAAAATCCAATGTTTTCAACATTTTCAATAGCTTTATAATCTTCAGAGTGGCTTTTAGATGTGTTTGAATTGATGTATCAAGCTGAAATTTCCAGGATCACTTCCTCTGATAAATATTAACAAATGATGGAAATATGGATGAAATTTGAGAGCCTTCAGTTTTCCATAGTTGATGAATCTAGCTGATGTTTAGTCCCGTGAATTCCAATCTTGTAGCAGCACCTCCTTCATTGCACCAACAAAAACGGATCACTGAATTACCAACGCCAACGAGTCCCTGGCTGCCTAAGTCCACGCGCTTGTGATGTCCACTCTAAACTGGTTTTGTACCATATCACCCCCCCACGGTGGACAGGAGGAGAAGATTTTTAATAAAAAGACATAGGTTTTACATGTGTTTCCACCTCTTATTCTGCTATTTATTCTTGAATTTCGAATTGGACTCTCATTGTGTTTAGAGCCACTATCCAGCAGGAATATGCAGCCAGACCAGCCTCGTTAACCATTACACGGATTCTAGATATCTTCGAGCAAGGCATTCCTCTTCGATAAAGGTCATGTTCGATGGACATGTCTTTATTTTCTAGCGATTGTCTGCCTTTTTATTTTTGCGGTGAAATCTGAGTTCACGTTCACTTTTCAACGTGTCCTCATAACATTGTCATACATCGGGAATTTGAAGTTAATTCTTCCCAGCCTTTCACGTTTAATGTAACCTTCAAGATATTAATGTCGATGTATCGTCTCTTGATTGAGTTATATGGGAATATTACGCTTTGTGGATACTTCCAAATTCCTTATTCAACATCGTTCCAATCTGTGTATTATTTCAACATGTTTTCATAGAGCCTGATACCCCGCCTATGCGATATCGAAATTCAGTTAAAATGCCATAAGTCATGGCTGGTAAGACATAACTTTGCCCTCGCTAGATTGCGAAGTCCCTAGTTCAAAAGGTTATGTTTTTTTTTTCAACAAAAAGGCCAATTTGTCAGGCATAAAGGATCGCATCTGTAAATAACGCCTGATCTCAGCTGTGGTATGCTGGGAAAGTTTACGTTTTATTTTTCTTTCTTACAGGATTAATGATTATAAATTATTTTTCAAAACTATTATTTGTGGTTATATCATTAATTTAGTATAGAAGATATGGAAATTGAATTCAGCGTTAGGATAGTTTTCTCCAGCCCCGCAGAGGCTACAAATCCCAAATATGAAACAAAGTTCACGAGTTATGATACTACATAATCTTCTTAGATCCAGACATTTATAAGGATGGCGTGCATGGTGTCCAAGTCGTTCAAAAATGTCTAAACTATCAAGCATATTGAAATGAAGGTTTACAAATGGCTTCAAGTGAATGAACCCTATCTCTTAAAGAAGAAATGTTCTCTCAGATTAATTGGCGTTACAGAATCGTAAACAAAAACGAATTGTCAAAATCTCAAAAGCCAGCGTCACTTAAAGAATTCCAAAAGGATTAAACAACTAAACTTCATAGCGTGTGTAACGAGTGGAGAAAATTATGACAGAATCGCAAGGATGACTTTCCACATTAAATTAAACAAAGTTTTAAAATGTAAACTCACATCAATGCCAGAATGATCCATAAATGTTAGTAGATTTGAGAAGTCTATTTTCCTAAAAAAAAAAAAAAAAAAAATAAAAACGCTTTAAATGAAAGATTTTATAAATTCCGACCGATCAGTGAATGTGGATCTGTCTATATTTCTGAGATGCGGTATTATGTACACTATTTAAATTATTCGGACTATTGTCCTCAAATTTGCCGCCATATTTATTACAACGTTTCGGCCGTTTTACGCTCCGGCCTTCTTCAGGTTGTTGGACCGTACAAGTGATCCCTTTATTTATCTCACTGGGGTAGACTGTTCTAGTTCCACATGCCATGTTTAATGGATGTCAGTTATCAGTTATCTCCTGTTAATTCCCCTATCCACTGCATTAACCGGGTATCGAACTCAGTTTATCCACTGTGCCATGAGAACACATGGCACAGTGGATAAAAGCATTCGTTAGATCCAGTGACAGGACACAAAGAGTGTGTCTTCAATATCTGGTTAAGGCAGTGGAGAACTTTGAGAGGGGAATTAACAGGAGACAACTGATAACTGACATCCATTAGACATAGCGCGTGAAACTAGAAGAGTCTACCCCAGTGAGCGAAATAAAGGGTTCAGTTCGACATTCCAAACACCTGAAGAAGGCCGAAACGTTGTAATAAATATGGCGACAAAGATGAGGACAATAGTCCGAATAATGTGAATGAATGTGGAATAATGCATGTATGGAAACGGCTCTTCTCGCCACTAACATGAAATTGCATATATATCGTGCACCTTCAATGTCATTAGACGAAAATAAACACACAAAAACGGATTCACTTACAGAAACGCACACACAAAACAAATCCTTTCTACATATGAACATACAGAGTTAGATATATACGTAACGATGAGAAAGGGGGGGTGTATTATAAAGACGTTTCGAAATTTAATGAAAGCTTAGACTTGTAATTTGAGGATTTTTTCTCCTATTTATACATGAGGAAAGGTCAATTTTTAATTCCTTAAAACGTATTCGTCGGTTATATGCCCTGTTCATGGAATTCTCAGTATACTTCTGTAGAGCTACATCCGCGTTATCACAAAGCTCTGTTTTTATGTGGGAAAATTACCCAGAATTCACATAATTCTTAATATTGTTTCGAATGGATTCATCCTGTTTCTAATTAACCAACTTAGAATCTGACAGGCGTAATTCGCTATTCCATTGGAGGAATTTGCATCGATTTCCATCGTCACTGATAAAATCTTCCAGATAATTAATACTCTGTATTTGCTTAATTTGGAGGTTTTTTTTAAATTGTCTCTCTCTGATAATCATATATACCATCTTACATTTAATTGTTATTCTTTTCTTCCAGCTTCCACTTGCTAATTTGTCAAGAAATACCTGTAGTTTTAATTCTAATTATATTACATTGTTAAGCTTGTGCCCACCAATGACAAATCCTTACATAACCCAAAACTCTCTGAAGAATTCCTATCACGCAACAGTAGTAAGATTTAAAGGCTTCGGGAAGGATAAAATATGACGCACTACACGGATGCGGCTTCACACCGAACTGATTCAACTTATAAAGTGAGACGGTTTTGAGTGAATTAGATGTCCATCATTATTGGCAGCTACAATATGAACAACATGAGATACGCAGATAAAACAGACCTGATAGCAGACACAGAATCTAAAAGAATTGTTACAGAATATAGTGGGGAAAAATAACCAGAAGAAATGGGTAAACTTCAATTGCAAGAAGACAAAATTTATGGATTTTAACAAAAAGGAACTACCAAACATGAAAATTACAAAATGGAGATACCAAAATCAAACAAGTACATAATTCTATATATTTTGAAATGGTTTTAACAATTGCACTACTGAAAACAAAGGCAGGAAGATGGCTTTCGAAAGTTAAGAAAAGTATTAAGAAACAGAATTTCGTTAGAAAAAAAAAAAACAGTTTTGGACTGTCAGGTAATATCAGTTCTTCTCTATGGCAGTAAATGCGAGACATTTTTCTCACAGAGGAAGAAGATACAACAAGCAGCAGAATATGGTTCTATAGGAGGATGTTGACATTAAAAGGATGGTCTGACATGTCTGCAACGAAGAAAATTATGAGAAAAATGAATCAAAATCGACGCTTATAATTAACATCGGATGCAGACAGTTGAAATTTCTCGGATGAGAGAGGGCTTGGAAAATTTGATACTCACAGGAAAGAGTTTAGACAAGAAGGACAGTAAAAAACAAGGAATAACATCATATAGCATGATAGTTTGAATTAATAGAGAGGATAACAATGTTTAGAAAAGATAACAAAAAGAAAAATATATTAAGAGTGAGAAAGGAGAGGAGAATTTAAAGAGAGTTGATCTTCAGCCTGCTGGAGTGTTCCGGCAAATAGAAGAATATGAAAAAGAAGATGAAGAGGACAAGGAAAGAAGAAGGTGGAGCAATAGATAGAGATGAAGAAGAGGGAAAAGAAGAAAGAAGAAAAAAGAAAGAATATGATGAATAAAGAAACATGTAGATGAAGAAGAAAGAAGATGAAAAAATAAAAAAAATGATAAAGAACGAGGATGAAGAAGATGAAAAAGCACAATGAAGAAGACGAAGAAAGAAAAAGAAGAAAGAAAAAAGAAGAAAGTGGAAAAAGAAGAAGAGGAAGATGCAAAAGAAGAAAGAAGATGAAGTAGAGGAAGAAAGAAAAAGAAAGAAGAAGGAGAAGAAGAAGAATGAGAAAGATGAGGAAAGAAAGACAAAACTAAGAAAAAGAAGAAAGAATATTGAGAATGAAGAAGAAAGAAGAAATGAAGAAAGAAAAATGAAAAAAAAGATGAAATAATAATGAAGAAAAGAAGGAGGAAAATGAAGAAGGAGACGAAATAAGAAACAGGAATGAAAAAGATGAGGAAGAAGCATAAGAAGGAAAGAGAAGAACAAGAAGAGAGAAGAAAACGAAGAAAGAAAAAGAAAGAAAGAAAGAAGAATGAGGAATATGAGGAAAGAAAGCCGAAAGTAAACAAAAGAACGATTATGGAGAATGAAGAAGAAAGAAAAAAGAAGAAAGAAAAAAGAAGAAAGAAAAGGAGGAGGAAAATAAGAAAGAAGATGAAGAAGCAGAAGAAATAAGAAACAGGAAAGAAAAAGATGATGAAGAAGCATAAGAAAGAAGAAGAAAGATGAAGGTGAAGAAAGATAAAAGAAGATGAAGAAGGAAAAAATGAAGTCTGAAAAAATGAAGAAAGAAGTAAAAGAAAGAGGCCGAAGAAAGAAGATGAAAAAGAAAAGAAAGATAAAGGAGAAAGAAGAAGATGAAGAAGCGGTAGAAAGAAAAAGAAAGGAAGAGAAGATGAAGTAGAAGGAAGAAAATGAGGAAAGAAAAACATGAAAAACAAGAAGCAGAAAAATGAATAAAGTAAAGAAAGGAAAAGAAATAGAAAGAGGTGTAAGAAGAAGAAAGAAGGTGAATAAGAAAAAGAAAGAAAAAGACGAAGAAAGAAAAAAAGAAGTTAAAAATAGAAAAAGAAGCAAGTTGAAGAAAAAGACGAAGAAGAAAGGAGAAAAAAGAAGGAAGAAGAAGATGAAAAAGTAGATGAATACGAAGAAAGAAATAGAAGACAAAAGAAAGAAAATGTAGAAAAAAGACGAAAGAAAAAGATGGAGAAAGAAAAAAATAAGAAGAAATGAGAAAGAAGAAGAAAAAAGAAAGATAAGAAAGAAGAATACGACGAAAGAAAAAAGAAGAAAAAGGAGAAGAAAGGAAAAAGAAGAAAAAGAAAGAACAGGAAAGAAGAAAATGGCAGAAAAAAATAGAAACATGGCTTCTACATGAAATTACATAGAAACACCTGTCACCCTTTAATTACTTTTCGTTTTATATTATAAAAACATTTTTAAATCTTCTAAATGGTGATAACCTTTGCTAAAGTTGAGATATGACTTCAATCCAATGCGAGCAAATGTTTTAAAAGTCTTTTGTTGAAAATGAAAATTTTACTAATTCGGGCCATTATTATATCTGAATACAAAATACACATTCGATATTATTTACACCTTATTTTTAATCAGGAACACATGCAACGGAAATTTGAAATTAAATGGCTGAATCGTCTGCGTACACACGTGCCTTGAATTACGTGCGAAATGCAAAATGGACATTTCGAGCTCAAAGACGTTGAATGATAATCGCTGAATAATTCAAGAAATTACAGCATCGACAATAAGAAACTTTTCTTCAAAATTAGAGGCGAACCTTTTAATTGGTTTGTTTGTTGTACTGATACAAAATAAACATCATGTACGAGGATACGGTTACGGAAGAATGTTTAACAAGTAGCAAAGATCTCTTAATGAAAATGGGATATGAAACAAACAAAGATTTAAACTGTGGAACGGAAAGAATAGCTTATAAGCAGAATAAAGCAAAAAAAGGAGACGAAGAAAGAAAAAGAAAAAGAAGAGGAAAAATAAGAAAGAAGAGGAAGATGCAAAAGAAGAAAAAAGGTGACGAAGAAGATGAAAGAAAAAGAAAAAAGAACAAGAATGAGGAAAATGAGGAAAGAAAGACGAAAGTAAAAAGAACAAGAACGAATATGGAGAATGCAGAAGAAATGAAGAAAGAAAAAAGAAGAAATAATAATGAGAAAAAGAAAGAAGAGAAGGAGGAGGAAAAATAAGAAAGAAGATGAAGAACAGTAGAAACAGGAAAGAAAAAGATGATGAAGAAGCAAAAGAAAGAAGGAGAAAGAAGAAGAAGAAAAAGAAGATGATGAGGATATAGTTACGAAAGAATATTTAACAAGTAGCAAAGATCTCTTATTGAAACTGGGATATGAAACAAAGATTTCAACTGTAGAACGGAAAGAATAACTCGCTAGTAACTTTGCATTAGATCATTTCATAAAACTTTGCATGAGAATATGTTATAAAAAATAATATGAGATGCAAGTTAGAATGAATCATTAATTGGTAAAGATAATTGAATGAGAATATGTTGAATAAGAAGAAGATTTAAATGTTGGTCAAAATGAATCTTTCGGTGTTAAGAAATCACGCATTAATTATGATTAAAAATGATTAGAATAATTATCCGGAAGAAACACTTGGAATCATTGGATATTAACAAATCTCACATAAGTTTTGTTTAAAAGAAACTATTAAGCTACCGGTCAGAAAGAAAGATTCGATATTCTCAAATCTCTCATAATAACATGTAATCATTAAGATTTTTGTCTGAACGAATCTTTGTTTGTAAAAAGAGTCGCACGTTAAGAAACTTCTCATTAAAACAAGTTTTGATTAAGACCTTGATTTGAAATAATCTTTCATTATCTGTCTATATTTCTGAGATGTGGAATTATGTACACTATTTACATTGTTCCGTCTATCATCCTCATCTTTGTTGCCATATTTATCACAACGTTTTGGCCGTTGTACGTTCAGGCCTTCTTCAGGTGTTCGGAATGTCGAAGTGAACCTTTTACTTCGCTCGCTGTGGTAGACTGTTCTAGTTCCACGTGCCATATCTAATGGATATCAGTTACCTCGTGTTAATTTCCCTCTACAATTTCTCCGCCGCCTTATCCAGGTATTGAACTGACACACTTTAGGTCCTATCACTGGATCTAACTAACGTCTTTATCCACTGTATCTATTAGTCATGGCACGTGGAACTAGAACAGTCTACCACGGTGAGCAAAATAAAATGATCAGTTCCACATTCCAAACATCTGAAGAAGGAGGGAGCCAACAACGGCCGAAACGTTGTGATAAATATGGCAACAAAGATCTGAATGATAGTCCGAAAAATGTAAATAGTGAAATAATCTTTATTTGAAACAATCTTGGGGTGTTAACTAAACTCTCATCATAACAAGTTATGATTATGATCTTGATCTGAAAGCGTTTTGAAACAAGCTATGGATAGTATCAGATCTTTCATATAAAGACGTTATGATTAAGAACTTGGTCTGAAAGAATCTATGTTTCAAATAATCTTTAGATGTTAATAAATCTCAATTCAAAACAAGTTATGATTTAAAAAAAGAAAACAAGATTAAGACCCTGGTCTGAAAAAAAATCATTGGATGTTCACTGATTTCGCACAACAGTTAAAAAAAAAATATTTAAGATCTTGGTCGTATAAAATAAACGTCTGTTAACTAATCTCTCACGCAAAATAAAACAGCATTAACAAATAAAGGTTAAGCCCATGATCTTAAAGACTCATTGCGTGTTAGGAGATATCGGATGAAGTAAAAATATAATGATTAAGAAATGAAGGCCTTTCTCCAAACGAACCATTTTAATGTAACAAATCTTGCATGTGAACATTTTGTAATAAAAGAACTAGAATTAATATTCTGCTCCGGAATTTTCATGCAATATTTCTCTGTTTTCTTCCTGGTGAAACAGCGAACCTTTTCTTATATTAAAACATTTCACCCCAAGCAAGGAAACAACGCCACTAAGAAGCAATGTTTTTATAATTGTAAAATAATATGAGAAAAAGAAAAACAGTATTAAGGAAAAAGAGAGCAATAAAAGAACAGAAATTAGAAAGACAGAAGATAACGATTGACATTGCATTTAAAATTTTGAAGATCAAAGTGGACCGGAAAGTAAGGATACTGGAACGAGTTTTACAAAAGAAATGTGCCAGAGAAGCAAATGTTAGCATTATTTCCTTTGGTAGCATTCAACTGTAAAATGGTGAGTTCTGACTGTTAATGTAGTACTGCGCTTAAATTCGTAAAATCAAGTAAACATTCATTTACCATATTTTTAGAAAAGGCATAGGAAAGGAACTGAGACTTGGTCAGGAGCTTTAAAATTGCAGATAATATTTTTTTTTATCAAAAATATCAAAATACATAGCATAAACACCAGACCAGTTTGACAGCAATATTCAATGTATGAATGTATGTTCGGCGTATAAATGTCTTAGACGCACTTTTACATTCACACCGAATATCCTTTTATAAATATAATTGGTAAATTGATACTATTTTTGGACGCATAAGATAGCAAGTGTGACTACAGAAAAAGTTAAGCCCATATATAAATACAAACCTTTCATTATTGATTTTGGAATAACTAGAGTAATTCGAGATTTAACAATCATTGTTCGATATTCAGCAATTCATATGTTACTAGATTATCATAAGACTAATAAGTTTTTTTTAATCATTTTGGGCAAATGGAAAGCCAGTAAGTCACAGGGTTTACTGAGTAAGAAAGAATAAGAAAAATAAGAAACATTATTAATGGCCGACAACAATAGAACAGTAATCAAGAAATCATTAGATAATAATTTACATTGCATTAAAATTTTCGATGATGAAAGTTGGTTGCAAAGCATGGATTCGGAAGTACTGAGCTGAAATTCTTAAATCTAGGCACCCCAGTGAATGTATTTATAGAAACAACACAGTGAAGCTAGATTAGGGCGGTGACTGAAACCGAGATGCTATGTCAATACCAATAATATTGCTGATTCTTCTTTGGAGTTTATTTAGAATTTAAGCGTTATGACAGAGGATGGTATATGCGACACTGAGATCTGTAGATGTATTGGGACGACCAAGAACACATTCCAAAAGCTGAACAGAGTATTGCAAAACAGGAGGATTTCTTTGAAAACGAAGAAAAGAATTCTGAGCTGTTACGTGACATCTCTGTTCTTCTTTACGGCAGCAAATGTTGGACGATTTCCTAAAGTTAAAAAAGAGGCTCGGGGTGACGGAGATTTAGTCCTACAGAAGGATGCTAAGGATATCATAGATTGGGCCTATGAAGTCTTAGAGGCAACAAGTACAGGGTGACCCCAAAAAACGGGAATTTTTGAAGTGCGTATTGCCAGACATGAGCAAGTGGAAACACTGCGAGACAGTGACCATGAGCAAGTAAACATTTCGCCATTTAAATTTCAAGATGAAATTCACAGTATCCCAGCTGAGATGTTGCAGCAGTCAATGAGGAATCTCAACAGCAGATTTCAAGAATGCATTCGTACAGGAGGACGCCATCTACAGGACGTAATTTTTAAAAAATGACAATTCCATCATTGTTTCTTAAAAATGGCATGTTTTAAGATTTCAATTACTATGAATAAAATAATTTTCTTCCATCACGCTTGGTGTTATTGGATTGTTAAAAAGTTCCCGTTTTTTTAGGTCACCCTGTAGAAGGCTTATACTTAACATCCGGAAGAGGAAGCTGAAGTTCCTGCGACAAATAATGAAGAAGGAGGGTCTGGAGAATATGATACTCACGGGCAGAATAGAAGGAAAAAGATGCAAGGGGAAAACAACGCATGATATACCTAGCGGCCATAACTAAGTGGATGACAGAACGTGGTCTGGGAGAGGTGGCAGAAGGAAGGAACTTGTTGAGAGCTGCCAGGGATAGAGGGAGGTGGCGAGCCTGAAAGGACACGGCATATAGAAAAAAACTTATAACACAAGCCACGGACAATATTTGGCAGTAATAAACAAAGCTTGCATGAATAGCAGACTTATAGATATGTAAAATAGATTCTGTGGAGAAAAATGTCTAGCATGACACAGGAAACCAAGTTTCTTAGTCGCAGATCCAGAAATAGATTCAATATAGTCTCTTGACTTCATGACAGTCAAGAATAATATCCCGAGTACACGCATCGAATTATTCCACAGGGAGTTTTCATCAGACGTTCTGATGGAATTCTAAAAAAATGATCCTTAGATGATTACGAGAGATCTTTTAACTTTTGGAGGCGTTAAAATTAGCATACCATTCCGTTCCACCAGATAACATGTCTCTCGGACATTTCTTAAATT